ACTCCTCTGGGTACCTCATAAAAGTGGAATCATATATGTCCTTTTATGACTGGCTTGTTTTTACTTAGCATAATGTCCTCAAGGTTCATCCATGTGGCAGCATGTGTCAGATTTCCTTCCTTTTTAATGCTGAATAATATTCCATTGTATGTTTATCTAGTCATCCATCAATGAACACTTGGGTTGCTTCTACCTCTCGGCTATTGTGAATAAAGCTGCTATAAACAGGGGTGTACAAAAATCAGTTCAGGTCCCTGCCTTCAATTCTTTGGGGTATATACCCAGAAGTAGAATTGCTGGAACCTATGGTAACTCAATTTTTTGAGGAATCCCTGCATTTTTAATTTTAATTAAAAAAAATTCTACAGTAAAATTGACTAGCCTTTTTCTTTTAACTGACTAGATTTTTTGAACATGCATTGTCCTTTAAATTTTTATTTTTCCAATTGTTTTGTGTAAGTAACACATTCAATTCAAATGGTATAAAAGTACACTGTGACAAACTCCCATCCCACCCTTGTCGCCCCATCATGAAGGTCACCTTCCCAGAAGCATACAATATTTTTAGATTTTGTGCATCCTTCTAGAAATCTATGCCTATACAAACACGTTTCCCTTTTTGACCCAAACAATAGCATATTCTATTCACTTTTATTCATCCAGCTTTTTTTTTCACTCAGTAAATCTTGAAGATCCTTCTGTATCAGCATGTAAAGAATTTATTCATTCTTTTTGACAGCTGCATAATTTTCCACATGGATGTACCATAATTTAACAAATCCCCCACAAACAGTCACTTAGCTTTCAATCTCTTGCTTTTATAACAAACAATGCTGCAATTATTAATCTTCTGGGTATATGTCATATTGTAAATATGCAAGTATATCATTAGGATAAACTTTTTAAAAATTTAATTTATTTTATCAATATACAATGTAGTTGATTTTTGTGTCCCTTTACTGAATCCTCCCTCCTCCCCTTTCTCTCCCCTCCATCAACATCATATCTGTTTGCTTGTCTTAACAAGTTCAAGGAATTGCGATTGAGAATGATAAATGCTGGCAAA